CCTAATTAAATTAATATATAAGCTTTATAGAAAAACAAATTTATTTATTAATGATAGTAAGAAATTGTATAAATAGTTGGATAGCCTAATTTTACAATGAAATGAGACATAGAATGTAATAATTTTCTAAGCCCACAAAGATGTTAACTCTTATATCAATATAATAAAATGGATCCTGGTATCAAACTAATCATTAAGATTTGAAAAAGTACTACGTTGATAATAAAAGTAAACAAAAACATAAATCAGTTTCACCGTCGCCGATAAAGAAGTAACAAAAATACAGATTTATCTAGCAATAAAAAAAATCACTAGAATTCTCAATTTGACCAGCTACTAGAAAAGAAATTGTCAGAATCAACACTTTGACCAACTATCGAAAAGGAGGCCCAATCGAGTATTACTATCTTTGTCCCCTTAAGATCGAGTCAAGAGGGATGGTGCGATTTTTTAAAAAGTAGAATTATGTGGTTAATATTAAATTGATAAAATGTCAATAAAGTAAGTATGAATTATAATCACACAAATATTACTAAACATGACATGACACACTAAGGGGGATGAATGAAGAAAAAAATTGATCAATTATAGGGGGCGGAGATAAAGACCCAACTAATAGTAGTAATTTTCATTATATAATTGTTTTGTATACTAAAAGATGAAAAAAATGTATATGACTAAAATAAAAAGATGTTTATAAAAATTTGACATATTATGTGTAGTGACTATAGTAGTAACTTAGTCATAGTAACTTAGTCATAGTAGTAATAGTCATATAACTATTAGTCATATTTTACAACAACAGAATCTAACTTTTATCCTAAAAGATTTTGGGGTCGGCTAACATGAATCGTTCCATGATATCAAAGCCAAAAAGAGAAGAAAGATAATAAAAATAAGAAAAATAAGAAAAAAGATAAGAAAAATAAAAAGAGAAAGTAAAATAAGATGGATAACATAAACATAATATCAGAACATGAGATAGATAAAAAAATAAAAGAGATAAAGGAAGAGAGGGGATCAATCGTGTGCACATGTATATGCGTCCTCCACTTTACTCTCTCAAAAGTCATACTCTCTTTCAATCAAAGAAGACGCAAATCAGTTCTACTTCCTCTCATCAGAGTCTGCTTGTGTCTTCTCCTCCCCCTCCTACCGGCCTCTTCTCCCCACCTCTCAACTCGTTTAACAGATACATCACTCGGTCTTCTACGCACATGACTAAATCACCGCAATCGGGACTCTTGCATATTATCTTCTATAGGTGTTACTGTAATACCCGAGATTAATTTAAGAGGATTAATAGTACTACTCATACCAACAAGGTGCATCTCCTTTTAAGGGAGCTCATCACCCAAGAACTCCAAAGTTAAGCGTGCTTGCACGAGAGTAGTCTTGGGGTGGGTGACCCCCTGGGAAGTTTCTCAGGGCGCGCACGAGTGAGGACAAAGTGCGCGGAAAAGGCTAGTGGCGGTTTGTGAGGACAGTACTAAAGGTCTAGAGTAACTACCTCGGGTCCTGTGGGGCCGGAGTGTTACAAATGGTATCAGAGCAACCCTGCGATAGTGTGCTGATCCGTTGGATATTGGGCGGGCACTTAGCAGGGGAAAAGATTATGGGATATGATTGAGATTGGTTTATGGGCGCAACGAGGACGTTGCGTTCCTAAGTGGGGGTGATTGTAATACTTGAGATTTAATTTAAATGGATTAATAGTACTACTCATACCAACAAGGTGCATCTTCTTTTAAGGGATCTCATTAGCCAAGAACTCCAAAGTTAAGTGTGCTTGCACAGGAGTAGTCTTGGGATGGGTGACCCCATGGGAAGTTTCTCAGAGCGCGCATGAGTGTGGACAAAGTGCGCGGAAAAGGCTAGTGGCGGTTTGTGAGGACAGTACTAGAGGTTAGAAGTAACTACCTCGAGGCCTACAGGGTCGGGGTGTTGCAGCTACCCCCACCTTTTATCTAATTATCTCATTCCTCAAACGGTCTTTTCGGGTATGTCCACACATACAACGTAACATACGCATCTCTGCTACACTCATATTTTGAATGTGACATTGTTTCACAGTCCAACACTCTACATCATACATTAGTGTAGGTCTAATTATCGTCCGATAAAATTTACCCTTCAGTCTAATCGGCATACCTCTATCACATTGAAATCATGATTCAATCTTCCACTTCCTCCACTCTTCTCTGATTCTATGGGATACATCTCAATCTAATTCACCATCCTTCTCAATTATAGAGCCCAAGTAACAGAACATATCACACACCGGTATCTCCTTGTCATCAATGGTAATCCCACTGTTACTACAACTTCTACCTCACCAAACTTGCACTCCATATACTCCATCTTGCTTCGACTTAGTTTGAAACCCTTGGTCTTCAATGTTTGTCACCATGCTTCCAACTTTGCTTTACCACACAATTGTGTCTCATCAATCAATACAATATCATCGGCAAACATCATGCATCACAATATCTCTTCTTGAATTGACTTTGTAAGTTCATCCATGACTATAGCAAATAACAAAGGACCCAGAGTCTATCCTTGGTGCATTCCGATAGTAATAGGGAACTCTGCAGTCCTCCATACATTAGTACGTACGCTTGGGGTGCAAGCCTCATACATATCCAACATGATACTGATATACTTATGTTATACTTCCTCTGTCCCTTATAAGTTTGTCATCTTTCCTTTTTTTGGATGTCCCAAAAACTTTGTCACTTTCTCTTTTAATCAATGAATTTGTGGTTCCTGTCATTTCTCTCTCATCTGCATATATCTCAACCACTCAGTTTTTACTTTATTATTTCTCGTGCCGGTCAAACATGGCAAAGTATTGAGGGACGGAGGGAGCTGAGTATGCCTTATCTAGTCAAGGTCCACCATAGGACTTCTCGAGGTACCCTATAATATGCTTTTTCTAAGTCAATGAACAACAAATGCAAATCTTTTTTTGTGTCTCTATACTTCTCCCAACTTGTCTCAGAAGGTGAATGACCTCAATTGCTGAGCGTCCAAGCATAAAACTAAACTTTTCCGAAATTTTAACACGTTTTCAGAGCCTTTGCTCAACCACTCACTTCCAAAGTTTCATGGTGCGACTCATAAGCTTAATCTCTCAATAGTTGGCACACTCTTATACATCATCCTTATTTTTAAATAGGGTAATAAGAGTACTCTTCCACCAACCCCCGACATTTTATTGTTTCTCTGAATCACGTTGAAGAAACGCGTTAGCCACTTGATGTCTCTCTCTCTCCCAAACTTCTCCAGACCTCGATCGGTATGTCATCTGGCTCATTGCTTTCTTCCACCCCATCTTTCTCAAAGCCTCTTTAACTTCTGTCATTTGGATTCTTCTCACAAAAACCCAATTTACCATACAATCTCATATAGTAAGATCATCAATATCTTGCACTTTATTCTTGTTGAACAAGGTATCAAGGTATGACCTCCACCTCTCTTTTATTTCCTCATCCTCCATTCTCTTTGATCGACATCCTTCACACACTTAATTTTTCCGATATCTTGAGTCCTACGATCACGAAGACGAGCAAGTTTGTAAATATCTTTTTCTCCTTCCTTAGAGTCCAATTTGACATACAACTCTTTGTTCACTTTCTCTCTTGCCTCTGTTACGACTTTCTTTGTTTTTCTTTTGGCCTCTTTGTACTCCTATATTTCTCATTGCTCCAACTTTTGTCCAACTTCTTGTAGCATTCCCTTTTGGTCTTTATTGCTTGTTTGACCTCATCATTCCACCAAGATGTGTCCCTTTTTGGTGACAGACCTCCTTTAGATTTTCTGAGTATTTCTTTCGCCACTTTGCTAATTATTGACTCCATTGATAACCACACATCATCCACATGTGCGTCATTAGCGATACATCATACATCTTCTTCCAAGATTTTGTGTGCAAAACTTTTTTGGAGATCCCCCTCGAGCCTCCACCACTTTATCTTTGGCTCAGCTTGTTGCTTAACTCGCCTTCTCTACTTACCTTGAAAATATAACTTTTTATTATTATTATATGCAAAAGTATTATATGGGGAAAAGTGTCAGATAAGGCCTCGAACTTACAAAAAATGTCAAATAAGACCTTATATAGGAGGTTCTGTCTGGCCAACGCCATTTGGGGCGGTTCCCGGTGAAATTTTTCAATGTAACTTTTTTGGGCATCTTATTCATTAAGTTTAGTTTACTCATACCAATTTTCAGCTAAAACTTCAATCGGGAAGGCATTCAAATAAATTCTTGAAGATAAGTGTGCAGTTAAAAGCGCAGTTATCTTCAAGAATTTATTTGAATGCCTTCTCGATTGAAGTTTTAGCTCAAATTTGGTATTAGTAAACTAGACTTAATGAATAAGATGATCACAAAATTTAATCGAAAAATTCTACCGAGAACCACCCCAAATGGCATCGGCCGGACAGAAGCTCCTATATAAGGCCTTATTTGACATTTTTTTGTAAGTTCGAGACCCTGTCTGACCATTTTCCTATTATATATTAGTAATAAATGTGATTTTCTATTTTAATGGGCCAAAAGATGGGCTAACATATTATGTTAAAGATTTCCATTATAAAGAATTTTTCTCACTTTTACATCTGGCAAATTCACAAAATCTCCAAACTCATCCATAATAGAATTCTCTGATTGAATGGGATGTTTGAGTGCTGATTTTATATGGAACCAATTTATATAAGTAATAACACCAAGGGTAATATAAATATAAGAAATGTAATGTAATTTCATGGTTGTGGGCACTTCCCTTTACTTTGAAAGAGTATGGTTCAACTTTCAAGAGAGTACTTAAAATTTGTAGTTGCATATTGATGTTGAGTGATGGCTGACGATTGACGATGAGTAAATTGAAATGATCAGCCAACTTAATACTGATATATACTCCTTAGTATGCGAGTGACATTCAGAGTTGTTCCTAACTTTGCCACCTTATTTTAGAAATTACTGACAGATTTTGCCGCCTTATTTTGGAAGTTAGAAACACAAGTTTTGCGTGAAATGAATATCATGGTCTTGGTCACCCAAACAAATTAATGGTGAAGATGACAGGGAGGGCTCTCTTCATATTTGTACAATACAACTTCTTGCTAGAAACCGTCCAAATATTTAAGAGAAGTAAATACGAGTCGCTCAAAAATCTGTAGGGTTCCTGACTCATGTGGCTAGAAAACCATTGTTTTAGAAAAGCTTTCCAAAAACACCTTTTCTGTGACTTGAAATCAACTTTTCTGTGACTGTTGAATTTTGCTTGAGAATTGATGAGTCTAGCTGCATTGTTCTTAGCTGGATTATTTTCTTTCATGATCTGCACGTTAAAAGAGAATGCAAATTTAAGGATTCAAATATACAGTAAAAAGAGTGATGGGGTGATTTGGAATATCAAATAATGCAAATTTATGGTATTTTGACTTTAAGCATCAGAAGTAATAATCATTTAAGTTACCATGTCTGAAGAATCGTCTCACATTGAGATTGCAGTCATCACTTTCAAATATGAAAGATCAAATGAGGCTTTAAGCTTTGCTCATGGAGTGGCAATCGAATGTGATGCTTCGATGTTCGGCCATGAAAAGATGACTGCAACAAGTACCAATCGAAAACAAGGCAAGCATTTCCTTAGGCCAATACAAGTCGTAGAATCAGGCAGTTTTATACTAGTCGTTTGTGTCACCCAAAACAATCCTTGGCTTGGGTGAAAGACCTCTAGCCAACATCTCATCATCATACTTGCGAGCTAAATCAACCATTCCCTTCTGCACAAGAGCATCAATCAAGACATGATAAGCAGATTCATCTGGACTCAAACCCTGTTCTGTCATTTTTCCCCAAAGATCAAGAACTGGTCTAAGAAACCCCCATCTCTCAAACTTACTCATCAGCATCACATATGTATCCATCCTAGGCTTGATACCTCTCTCGGTCATTCTATCAAACATCTTTAGTATCTCTTTTGGCTTCTCCAGACATCTGAAAAAGTAATGGTAAGTGGTCACATTTGGTTCACAACCCTTCTTAGACATTAGGCCTAGCACCTTGAATGCATCCTTATACCTCATGTTTTCACACAAAAGCTTCAAAATTGTGTTGAATGTAATCACGTTTGGTTCACAACCCAATTCAATCATCTCTTTGAAAAGCTTAACACCCACATCAACTCCATCTGAGATCCCAAGGGCTTGAATGGCGGTGTTATATGCCACCACGTCTGGCTCTATCCCTCTCTTCTTCATTTCCTTGAAGAGCTTCACAGCTTTCCATGGCTTCCCACTCTTGCATTGAACATCCATGTAAATGGAATAGGAAAAAATATCCTTTTCCACTCCCCTTCTATCCATTTCTTCCCAAAACTCCTTGCATTTCCCCCACCAGTTCATCTTAAAGAACCCGCGAAGTATCATGTTATGAATCTTCGTGTCTAGACGTAAGAATCTCTCGTAGTCTTTCCCATTCACAAAACACAACTCTTGAGCTTCAATCACGTGTTTATACTCGCATAGAGCGTCAACCAAATTGGAGAAAGAAACACTATCTTTTAAGTTGAAATCATCTAATTTATCAAACGTATCAATAGCTTCGTTGATTAGGTGAGCTCGAACATAGCGATTAAACATTATACGGAAAGTGGTGTGATCTGGCTTGGAAGCTACCGAATTTCTCATTATATATATAAATTTCCAAGCTATGTCGAACTCGAAGAACTTACCGAGAACGCTGATTATTTGATTGTAGGTCTCGGTGGTGTGTTCGAACCCTCGCTGTGATTCAACCCAATTGAAGAACTCCAAAGCAGTTTTCCAGTCATTGTTGTAACAAGACAGAGTCTCCGCGACTAGGTTCGGGTAATAATCATCGGAAGTTCGAGTCGGAATGGGCAGACGATGAGGTTTCCCAGTTGGATATAGGGGTTCGGTGTGGTTTGTGGATTTCCGACGAAGATATTGATTGTTGGTCGGAGAAGTGCGATAGAGGATTAGAGATTGGAGATGAGTGAATGAGAGTAGTGATGCTACGATTGAAGTGTGGGCAGATGTAATGGATGAAAGCGGATTTCTCCTCATGGCTATTTCAATGTAAGGGACGACGGGGAAGTGATCGGCGCCGGGGGAATCAGGAAAAGACGGCCAGGTTGCTCGAAAATCGAATATGGGCTGCTATCATGTTGGATAAAGCCCAAGCTGGATTTTTACTTTCATAATTCTAATAAAAACTGGATTTTGGATAACACTTAGAAAGAATGTAAATTGGATTTTCATTATGAAAGAATGCAAAATTGTACTTTAATTATAAGCTAACAGATAGCGAGTATGAAGTTGAATAGGTAATTGCATAAACTCTATGCAATTTTACACAATAACCTCTCATAACAATTGTTGTGATTCGAACTTAAAAACTTACTTCTTGTGACACCCCTATCTACGAGTCTACTTTTGTAATTCTACTCACAAGCACAATGCACTACTTTTCTAAATGCACTCACCAAATTAAAAAAGAAATAATAATAAAAATAATACTACTACCTATGCAGTAGACCAAAATAAGACTTATTTTAAATTTGAATGAAAAATAGATTAATTATCAGTGAACTGACAGAAACACTCATGTACTTAAATCAAAATTTTCACTCACCTCTCCTAAATTTGTCTCCTTCAATATGTCATTGTCTCGTCTCAATGCACTATTGATTCATCTCCTTCAATCTCCATTGCTGCCTTGTTGCCTTGTCTCCGATGCATCTCCTCCATCCAACTTTATTGTTGTCTCTGTGGCCACATGTGATGCCCTTCGGCTTCTGTCCCCGCTCATCCTTCCATTGCCATCGCCGACAACCCAAGCTATCATCACCTTCACCGCCCGCATCGTCAACGTTGTTGTTCTTCTCCTTCTTTCTTCTCATTCAGCGGTGGTGAAGCTGAACGATGGTGGCAATGGTGGGGAACCGGCGACATGGATTTGTAAGACATAGGTAGCTAGGGTTTCTGGTATGTGAGGGAGGAGGTGGGGTCTGTGAGGCTGTGAGGGAGGTTGTGGCATATTGGCAAGGGTTCAGGATGCAAGCGGGGGTTGGGAAGGAGGGATGGGAAGGAGGGTAGGGGTTGAGTGGTGGGGCAGAGTACGGGTATTATCGGTGTCACTCACCAGGGCTACAACCCGATGTTGGCTGGGTGTGGTTAATTGAGTTGTCGGTGAAAGTGGTCACTATCTGTTGGTCACTGTGGTCTGCGGTGGTCAACGAGCCGTTGGTCACTGTGGGATGAAATCATATCACTATGGCATTGGTCACGGTAGTGTTGGTCACTAAGAGGGGCCAACCGAGTGTAGTAAGGGTATACTGGCTGTTTAGTTATTTTTTAGTCTCATTTTTTGAAAAATTTAAAAAAATGTCTGTTTAGTCCATTAGTTAATTTTTAGTAATATTTTATCCTAATCCCATTAAAAATTACTCCCTCCGGTTCTTATTAAAGTTCTCACTTTCCTTTTTGGGATGTCCCTTATTTAAGTTCACACTTCCATTTTAGGAAACAAAACAATGCAAAACAATGCCAAAAAGTGCCAAACAGTGTCCAAACAGTGCCAAACAGTGCACTACACAGTAAAGTCAAATTCACACTTTTCTACTTTCTCACTTTTTATACACTATTCACTATTCCTACAATTTTTCTTTTAAATATTGTGTACAATCCTATATTGTAGGTTTTTATGCACGTATAAACTAAGGGATGTTCTCAAAGGTGAATTTGATCAATTTTAAAATTTCGATGTTCTAATGTCTGTAGATTGTTTATGAATTCTCTTAAATAATGGTTTTCTAATCTAAAATCTAAAAAGCACAAAATACATGTTTATCAAAATCGGACAACTTACAATATGATTATCGTGAATTACATGTGTACTGAAGTACTATCATATGATATATGAGTGACATTCAAAGTGTTCCAAACTTTGCTGGTTTCTTTGGAACTTTGAAAGCAGCATGTAGAGCTTGAGTGAAATTAATCCCATGTTCTTGATCCCCAAAACTACTCAATGGTGAAGATGATTGCTTCAGTATCTCAAATAGGGAAGCCCCACTTGATGTTTGTGCAACAGAGCTTTTGCTCTGAATGTTGAACTTTGCTTGAGAATTGCTTAACCTAGGTACATTGCTTCTGGTTGGATTATTTTCTTTTATAACCTGCAAAGTTAAAACAGAAAACAAAAGTATCTATGTAAATATCCAGCAAAAACTGATCAGAGTGATTTAAAACATCAAACTATCAGAAAATGCAAATTTATGGTACTTCTAGACTAAGATTTTAATTAATAATCATTTACGTTACCATGTCTGAAGAATCATCTGACATTGAGATTGAATTCCGGCTATTGCTGTCATCACGTTCAAAGATGAATGATCGAACAAGGCTTGAGCTTTGCTTATGGGGTACTGGAATATGATTCTTTGATGTTCGGCCTAGAAAAGATGACTGCAACAAGTACCAAGGGAAAAAAAAGCATGCATATGCTTAGGTCAATAATATGCAGGTTATGACCAAATATATATGTAACTATGAGCATATATATAAAAGGAGTGCTCACAACTTGCTGCAGAAAAGGGGACTTTGATTTTTTTTAAATACTATGCGGATTTTAGAACAGATGTGTTTGAGTCGCATGGTATTTGTAATTATAACTTCCAAACTTAACAGATTAAGAGTTTGGGAGACAACAGCTGGTCGAGTTCATATAATTTGATAATTTCAACTTCAAATATACAAATAGGCACATGAGCCATCATTACACAGTGTCATTAATTCCAAAATAATATCCAACTTTGCCATGCTAAATAAATAAAAGTGTCGCATTTTTTCACTTCATCCAAATAAAGCAAACTTGAACAGGTTTTCTCTATTACCAAGTTATCAACCTACTTAGTTAGTCAGGTCAAATAAAGTTACAGTTGATAATAAAAACTAGCTGATAAGACTTGTAGGCAAAAAGATTTATGCCTAGAGAGCACCGAACCACAATTAAAACATGATAAAGAATACAATAAAACATCAATTAAAGGAGTGGTTTTACCTTTGAAAAACTATTATCTTTTGGGCCTCCTAGAATCTTGTCAAAGAACGCTGCATGAGGACATGAACTATGAGGAATGATAAAACTCTAAATCCATAACATAGATAAAGGTACCAAATAATAAAACTTACATGGTGGTTTTGCTTTCTTTTTTTTGTCGGGAACTACATTATGTTTCTTTATGAGACCAAAGAGTGTTTTGGAATCCTCATCTTCAATTGGAGAAACTAGTGTTGTCTTTTCTTCCTGTTTTTGAAGCCCATTAATGATGCAACTATGTGTCATATAAGATTCTAAAAAACAACCCAAGATGAATTGAGTTGAACTTACAGCTCTGATAAGGACACGCTGTTTAACGATCATCTTATCTTTTTCTTCATCATCATCTGATAAGAAAACATCATCTTTTTCCATAAACATCTGTGTTATTATTTGTTTTGCTTTTCTCTTATTTACCCGAGAAGTACTCTTTGTATGTTCTCCTGCATCTTCATTAAAATCTTCACCCTCACTATCTACTTGTTCTTCTTCAAGCAATGTTGGCTCACTATGATTTGAACCAAATTTCAATTTCTGGAGCAGATCTTCAGTTCCAGCCGCATCCTGCTGCTCAAGCCACTTCCTGTGAAGTTCATTGCGCCTCTCATTATCTGAGGGCTTTTCTTCATAATTAGTTGCAATTATATCTTTGACTGCTTCAAAATCTTCATCATCTTCATTTTCACTAAAGCGGTGTACGTCATTATCACTGTCATCTTCTTCCTCAGCTTCCTCGTCAAGAAATGCCTTAACTGGGTCACCTCTTGGAGAAGGAGCGTCTAGTTTAGCATCTTGATCTACATCATCCGTGTCATTGTCCTCCTCATCTGAAGAGCTACAAAGAGAGAAGCTTTCTAGTTTTATGAGTGTCAAAAACAGGAACTTGAGATGGAAGTAATTATAGTGAAAAACACCTTTTGCCTGCAAACCACAATTGAAACTCACCATTCATCTGGAGGGAGAGAATCAAACTTCAAGTTCATAGCAAGAACAGACGGTGCCATTACTTCTTCCAATGGATTACTATCCTCTTTGCATTCAGGTATCTCAATTATCTCATCACGATCTTGAGAATCACCAAAAAGATCCTGAATATTTGAATTAACATAACACAAGGATCCATCAATAATAAAATTGTTCATGATGGAGTTAGATGATAAAACCTCTTGCATGAAGTACAGCTAAGAAACCTGAGTATCAACTGGAGCTCGAAACATAGGCTTAGGAACTTCATCCAAAACCTGCAGTTGTATGATACAGATTAGTATAACAAGTTAATAGCAAGGACCCCATCAAGAAGGATTAATAATTTGAAACACTAATGCAGGTATTGGAGAATCTGTTTGGATAGAGGGTTGTGGAGGAGATTGGAGGCAAAGGCTTTGGATGCCTTAGAATGTGTTTGGGGGTAGATAAAACATTATAATCCCTTCCCTCCCAAATTATTTGATGTTTTAACAATTTTCATACATATTAAGGTTTTACATTAAAAAAACTACCATGCCCTTGTTTATCTACTCTTGTAGTCTCTCTAATCTCTACCTGTCATTTTCTGTTCTAGAAGGGATTAAAAATAAGAGTACTTGGGGAAGAAAAGAGATAGTTGTACCTTGGAATCTGAAAAAGTACATTTATTTGGGAAAAAGGTTAGAAGCTAGAACGTCAAAATCAACATGATAATTGATTGTTGTTATAAATAATTATATAATACGTAGGAATTAACTAAATGAGAGTTAGTTTTTCTTTGGGTAAAATTTGCTCAAGAGTGGCTTAATGTGATAATAATCAATATCATTTGAAAAAAGATGTCTCAACAGATGAAAGAAAATAAGGTCCTGAAAAACAAACTACAAAAATGCAATTTTTCTTAAACAGCTAGAATTTCATGGAATTTTTTTTCAATTATAACCTATCATCCAAAGATGTTGGGTTTTAAAAGGAACTGAAAATATTCCCTAGCTTAAATGCAGGTTTCCAAGACATGCTTTTAGTCTCTATCTTGATAAAGATTCTATTAAACAAGATAAAGACTAAGCATTCTAAAGTC